AGAAAGAACACTGGCTTCACTACTAAGTGGACGTGAGCCCAGTGCACTAGGAGGTAACACGCGGATTCTCTCGCATCCCTCCGGGCTCCAGGAGCTGAAAACGCGAAAGGATGGGGCGCCTGCCTGGTTCAGTGGGTAGAGCATGCAACTCTTGATCTCAGGGGTTGTGAGTTCAAGCCCCATGTTGGGTGTAGAGATTACTTAAAAATAAAATCTTTACAGAGAAAGAGAAGGAAAGGAAGAAAGAAAGAAGAAAGAAAGAAGAAAGAAAGAAAGAAAGGAAGGAAGAAAGGCAAGAGGTAATAATTCAAGGAAAGAGATTAGAATAGGACAGAGCTGTGTGTCTGGTCCAGACTGTCCTTAGGCAGCATGCCCTTGTTCAATTTAAATTCCTTTGCCTTGTTTTCTTCATCTGTGAAATGTGGTTATTAAGTCATGTGTCATAGTAAAATACAAGAATTTAATAAAATAGTAAGGGTTGAAGTGACCCCACACAGGGCCTAGGTATAGTAGCTGGATATAGTGACCTGCTGTGACTTTGGCCATGAGATTCAACTGAGGATACTAGTTATCATATTAGAGTTATTTGGGTTTTGTCTCTGCTCCCTTTGCCCACCATTAAGGGTGTGTTCTGGTGAAATGTTCAGCAAGAGGGAGAAATACGTGGGACAAGAGACCTGGAGAATCCAATTCAGTGGTATTTCGACAGTTCTGGAACAGCTCCTCTTGACTGAGAAAGCAGCTCTTCAGTGGATAAAGATCTGTGGAGTTGTCACATGTAACCCACAAATCACAGATCACTTTCCAGATGAGTCAGACTTTCTGCTGAAAGAGCATGCTTATGACTGCAGCCTTTGGGAAGGCCCCTTCCTCAATGAAAGGGTGAGTTCAAGGCCCTTCGCTCAAAATACAACTGGACTGCATTAAATACCAGTTGCTTTCAAACTGCTTTCTAAATCTGGCCGTGGAGCTTCTCTGGTTTCACATTGGGCCACAGAAGTGCCCCAGCACACACTTAATACTCACTGTGTTGTGGGTGACCACAGAGTGACCCGGGAGTGACGTGTGGGCGACCCCCCCAAAGCCAACACAGCAATAGCTTCACCCATTGGAGGTCACAGCAGTGCCCTCAGCAGATACTCTGGTGGGTTGAAAATTATAATTTTATTTTGAAATGATCATTAAAAAAAAAAAGTCCAAGTGGAAACAATTAAACTTTGGGAAAGTCAAACAAATGTTGCTAGCCAAGAAACCCCGACCAGAAACCAAGCTGTGATTGGCTCTAGATGTAAAATCTAGGAGAAAAATCAGGGGGACATCAGATTCTCAAGTTCAGAGGCAACACCAAAGAGGTAGCAGAGTCCAGTGTTATAAATAGCCATTCTGGGAAAATTACAAGAGGTGGTATTTAGAAAGTCACTAGTGAAGGAACGGTTGAGGAATTAATTACCTCAGAATGGGCTGCCAAGAGGTGGCTTTGATGTTATCACAGATAAGCCTCCTCAGTGACGCTGCCGGGAGTGGGGGGTTACACTAAGCAAGTAACAGCAAATAACTTGGATTTAAGTGAAATCGTTGGGAGACGAACTGTGAAATGAACACATCATGGCTCAGAGGGGCCATCTTGGGAGTGGATAGGTTCCCGGCTGAGGCCGCTTTCTCCATTGTAATAACACAGAGAGGATGAAATATTTAAAGACAGGATGGGCTGAGGAAAGCGGATCTCAGGGTCAATCCGGCCCAGTGTGAGGAGAGAGCAGCCCTTGTTCCAAACATAGCTTTGCTTTAGGTCAAGATACATCAGCTACTCTCAACTTAAAGGCAAGAAGCCATGAGTTCTCAAACGTCAGCAATCATCTGAGGTGCCTGTTAAAATACAGTTTGCCAGCTTCCATTCTCAGAGAGTCTGGGATGGAGTTTGGACATCCAAATATTCATGAGCCCCACTGAGGTGATTCTGAGGCACATGGTGGGAGTCTGAAGTCTGGAGTCCCAGCCTCTCCTCCCAGTTTCTGACAAATTGGCTTCCTGTGGAACTTGCCCAGAAGAAGAGAATGTGGAGCCTTAATGAGTCTAGCATCTTGCTGAACAGTTGGAGATTCGCATTATGAATCAATAAATTGCCTTCCAACCTCATGTGTGGGTCTCCTTCACTTGGTGAATCCACCCTAGATATCTTGGATTACTTTTGAGGAGCCTTTTGCCCCCTGTACTATCTTTTTTTTTTTTTTTGCATGAAGTCCTCACTATAAAGTATTGTGTGCCAGATGAATTAAATAGCTAATTGTAAAAGGGGAAAAAGAAAAAAACATAATGTTTGTGGGGCGTCTGCGTGGTTCAGTTGGATAAGTGGCCAACTCTTGATTTCAGCTCAGGTCATGATCTCAGGGTTGTGAGATGGAGCCCCGTGCCAGGCTCTGCACTTAGCAGGGAGTCTGCTTAAGATTCTGTCTCCCTCTCTGACCCCCGTTGGCACTCACTCTCTCTCTCTAAAATAAATAAAATCTTAAAAAAAAAAACCATAATGTTTGCATTTCCCTTGGTTAGATACAATCTCTACAAACAAAATATGAAATCCAGGGGCAATAAAAGAGTACATTAGGTCTGAGCTCATAAAAATTTAAAACTTCTGTAGGATTTATCTGTAGGATAAATAATACCATAGTTTAAAAAACTTTAAGTTACAGAATGAGAGAAAGTATTTGATTTGTATGTAATACTCAAAGGTTTAAAATTTAGATAATTTAATGAGTTTCTATGAATCAATTAAAAAAATTAAAAAACAGCAAAGAAAAATGGACAGGATGTGATACTTGCATACAAAAATTGGGACATACTTATAAAAAAATTCATTGTTTATATGAAATTTCAATTTAACTGAGTGTCCTGAGTTTTTTTGTTTTTTGGTTTTGTTTTTTTAAGTCTGGCAACCCTAAGAGGATATGAACTTCCAGTTTACAGAATGAGAAAAACTAATGATCCAAGATCATTGAAGAGACATATACAAATTAAAACAAACATGCCTAACTTGTTTTTGCTCATTCGATCGGAAAACATTAAGAAGCAGTGTCCCTTGTGGGCTCCGATAAAGAAAATATTTACTATATTAATATTTAATGCACTGTCTATAGAAAATGTAAGACCATAAGGAGTTTCGGAAAATTCTAGCAGCTATGGTATAAGACCTAAATTTAAGGTCCAATGCTATGTGCTACCTTGACATTTGGTAAAGCTGGGAGGGTCCTGAATGACGTAACTGCAAGCTCTCTTCCCCAATCTGATCACTTGCTGGCCAAATAGCCCTCCTTACCAATCGGACCGGGCGCAATACCTGTTCATCCCTGAGTATTAGGTGTCAGTCTCCTGACAGCCTGTGGAATTATGCAAAACAAGCCAATCACGTCGTCCTGTGGGAACCAGGAGGCACCTCTCTTCATGTCACTACAAAACCTTAACCGCATACCCCTCATTGTTCTCTCTGTTCCCAAGTGCAGCACCCACGTGGCCCTGTGTCGTGTGTGGTGTCCTCACCCCCCTGGGCTGTGAGTGTCTGTATCTAATTGGTGTCATCCCTTTATTGTCCGCTGTCACTTCTTATCCCTGGGGCAGGAATCCTTCCCTCATCAACCCGATGAAGAGGAGGTGATTAAAACAGCAGCATCTCTTGTGCTCTCTATCTCTCATTCTCTCCCTCTCAAATAAATAAATAAAATCTTTAGAAATAAATAAATAAATAAAACAGCAGCATCTTGCAAATTTTTGAAGGTATCCACTTTTGAAATTTCACTTCCGACAATATAGCCAAGAATATTCATCGCAACATTGTATTTTTTAAAATTGAAAAGTCGGTAGCAACCTGAATATCCATCCATCAGGAAATGGTTAAATGAATTATCGTCAATGTAATCTGCGAAATACTACCTAACCACCGAAATGATATGGAAGGAGTTCCAAGACTTGTTATACTTAAGCAATACGTATACCCACACCCAATTTATGCAAAATAATATACACCTACATATACGTGTGTGTCTGTATGCCTATATACATATAATAAAGACAGGGAAGGAAAATGCCAAACTGATCAAAGAGGTCGCTTAGGTGAGGGGACGGACAAGGGGAGGCTTTTGTTTATTTTTATGCTGTGTAATTTTGTACCGTTTGAGTCTTCTACGCTGAAAATGCATTCTAGTATCACTTATGTGATGTGATAGAAATTTAAAGGTAAGAAAAGTAAATCAAACTATATAAAGTCTCACAGACTAACACATGGCGAAGGTTTGTAGTAATGTAACACAACTAAGCAATGCGAGTGGCTAGGCCGAATATTCCAGCACATTCCAAGACATCTTCTGGGCCTTAACGCTATGTGTTGACTTAGCCCGTTAAATTTTTCTCAGCTTCTCTCTAGAAGGAGTCCTAAGGCAAAACTGCCTCATTCACATATTCGGGAGGAGTCAGGTAATCAAGACTGATATGCCAGCCAACACATTTTTGCAAATCCTTTTCAACTCCCTTCCTACCCCATTTTTATTTAACTTCATCATCTGATGCAACATGTTAAAAACAAAACAAACAAACAAAAAGTATATAAAGAGAAGGAGGATGAGGTCCAGTGAATGAGAGAAAAGAAAAATGGTTAAGTACTGTTTATTCCAGTGTGAAAACCAGACAAGCCCTTGGCAACAGTTTCTTGCTTGCTAAGTGAAAAGCTGAATTTAACTAAACGATGACAGATATGTCCTCTCCTTTTTCTCTCTTTAAAGAAGCCATTTATTTGGCTCGTGAATGACAAGCAGCGTTAGTGAGCAATCACGTACTTGATGCAGATCCTAAGGGAAGTCACCAGAACTTGGGTCACACTCCATTGACCAAAACCTATCCCCGCCCTGCCAAGGCCAAGTCCCGCTCAGCCTTCTCCATTTGCCCTGAGGACAGACTCCTGTCTCCAGGCCCACCCTGACCCCTGCTCTCCCTGGGGACATTCTTTGACATCTCACCACACTAATGCCGTCATTGAGAAGGGCCTCCCCGAAGATCATCATGTAGAGCGGCTCGTTCACCCGCGCCTCCTCGAACACAGCCAGCACGGCCACGGGGTCCACGGCCGAGATCAGGCTGCCAAACAGCAGGTTCTGAAGCAGGTTGACGTCACTGAGGCCAAAGGCTTTGATCTGGCAGATGAGGTAGAGGGAGAGGCCAATGCCAAAGGCATTGATCAGGGCCCCCAGGCCTGCCCACCACAGGATGGACCCAATGTTCTCAAAGAAGGGCCGGGTGGGCATGAAGTAACCACCCTCCAGGACGATGGGTGGAAGGAGGTACAGGAAGTAGATGCTTGAATCCATGACGGGAGGAGATTTATGGTCGGTGCCAAAGATGATGGCGCCCACCAGAGCCCCAACGATGATGAGGAGGCAACTTTCTGGCATGAGGCCTGGCAGTCTGTGGTAAAGATGGAAGCCTAGGGAAGAGCGGAGAACCACATTTAGATGTTTGCAAATAAAATGGCTCTGGCCAAGAAGATGCCAGGGGACTGGTGTACAAGAGGCCTTCTAAAACCAAGCAGGGGGGACCTTGGGTAGGCTGGCTTACATCCCTGAGCCTCAGCACCCCATCTTTAGTGGAGACTAGAAATGTCGTGGGGTCTTTCAATCAGGTCAGATACTTAACATGCCAGGCCCAGTGCAGGTCTCAGAGCAGTCCTCAGCCAGCCGTCCCCTCCCCCTCCTCCTTCCTGCCACCCCCCCCCCGCCACAGGGTCTGAGAGGGCAGTCGGGAAAGAGGAGCAAAGAGGGTGGAGCTCCTTTGCATTCCTGCAGAACCCACCTTTGAGGCTCATTCAGAGTCAATAACAGTCACCTAAACATCCCAGCTTCTTCCAAACTTCCAAACTTTATTGGTTTGGTGAACCAATAAATGAAAATTCAGTCCTTTATTGTATTTTCCCTATTTAACCAATGACACGCCATCTGGTCAGCCATGTAAGAAGGAAATCAAAGTGACTCAGTCGGTTGAATGTCTGACTCTTGGTTTTGGCTCAGGTCATGATCTTATGGGTCGTGGGATGGTGCTCTGAGCATGGGGCTCCATGCTCAGTGGGGAGTCTACTTGAAGATTCTCTCCCTCTGCTCCTCCCCCCACTCGTGAACTCTCTCTCTTTCTAAAATAAATAAATAAATCTTTTTAAAAAAGGAAGGAAATCAAGTCACATTCCCTGAGCTCCCAACACTTTGCCCTCCTGCAATTCCCTTTCTCATCATCTAGGTCTCAGTAGTTGTCCCTTGAGACCATCTCCTCCTCCCTATTTGTACAGTTACCGCCTTTATGTAGGGGCTCCCCATTTCCCATCCTGACGTCTGCACTGGCTTCCTGACTTCGTATCTCACCCTCAACCCCCCAGCTCATTCCAAACTTCGGCTGCCAGATGACTTTTCCAAACCACGTGTATCTATACTCGTCTCTTTCCCCACCTAAGACCTCTGAAGGCACACAAAGCATCTCACAGATTTTAAACTGAGGGTTATTTGTGAAGCTTCCTTGGGCCAAGACCAACTCACTGCTAAGCACTGTGTGTGACATGGAGAACCAAACATGTTTATTACAATTCCAGCTATTGATGAAATTTCAGATATAAGACATTAACAAATAAGAAGACAAAAACAAGGCAACACATAAGAATGCAGTGAAGTGTGTATTGACTATATCAACAAACAGAAGAGATCAGAGCACAGCAGGCCACTCTGGGGTTCTCTCCAAGTCAGTATCCCTCCCACCCAACACTACCCATATGCATCCTCTGTTATAGCCCACCACACACCTTTTCCCTGTGGTTCACCTTTCCTGTCCTCATTTATTCCTGCCTGGATTGTTCTTTTCTTCAACTTATTTAGGTCCTGTTCAATCTTCAAAATTAAACTTTTCCCAACCCCTTCCCAAGGAAATCATATGTCTTCCTCTGAATTACTGTAATATTTTATCAGTATCTGTCTAACAACAATGTTCTCTTTCTATCATTTTCTGTGCATGGCTTATCTCTCCTACTAACCTCCAAATTCTTCCAACTTGGACAGAATGGCATACAACTCTTTATCTCCCCAAAGTGCTTAGCAAGGTGTCTTACCCACGACAGCTGGTCTATTTGGTGAAAGAATCTGTAAGTGTGTACATGAATGATTGATCCGGTTAAATGTTTACCAGAGAAGCTTTTATATGGGAAGTAGAAATTGAACAGGTTGTTGGGGGATGACTAGGACTTACATAGTTGGACAGCAGAATGGAAGAGATTTTAGGTGCGGAGAACTCTAAGAGAAAAAGTAGAGAGACAGGAACGGCCCAGTCAGATATGTCCGACATTCATTGAGGAGATCCACCTGGCTGGAGCAAATTATGAATTAAGAAGAATATTGGAAGAAGAGTCAGTAGATGATTGAGCCAAATAAGAGAGGGTTTTGAGTTCAAGCCTAAGGAAAGAAGATTTCTCCCACAGGCCACAGGGAGCCACTGAATGTCTCCTTAGGAATTTTAATTTTAATTCCATTTTAGCCATTCTGACAGGTAGGAGGTGGTATCTCATTGTGGTTTTGATTTGTATTTCTCTGGTGATGAGTGATGTTGAGCATCTTTTCATGTGTCTGTTGGCCATCTGGATGTCTTCTTTGGAAAAATGTCTGTTCGTGTCTTCTGCTCATTTCTTAACTGGATTATATATTTTGGGGGTTTTGGGAATGCAAATCGGTGCAGCCAAGCTGGAAAACAGTATGATGGCTCCTCAAAAAGGTAAAAATAGAACTACCTTATGGCCCAGCAATTGTACTACTAGGTATTTACCCAAAGGATATAAAAATATAGATTCGAAGGGGCACATGCACCCCAATGTTTATAGCAGCATTATCAACAATAGCCAAACTATGGAAAGAGTCCAAGTGTCTGTCAACTTATGAATAGATAAAGAAGATGTGGTATACATATACAATGGAATATTACTCAGCCATCAAAAAGAATGAAATCTTGCCATTTGCAACAATGTGGATGGAGTTAGAATGTAGTATGCTAAACGAAATAAGTCAGTTAGAGGAAGATAAATACCACATGATTTCACTCATATGTGGAATTTAAGAAACAAAACAGATGAACATAAGGGGAGGAAAAAAAGAGAGAAGCAAACCATAAGAGACTCTTAACTCTAGAGAACAAACTGAGGGTTGATGGGGGGAGGTGGGCAAGGGGGATGGGCTAAATGGGTGATGGGTATTAAGGAGGGCACTTGTGATGAGCACTGGGTGTTATATGTAAGTGACAATTTAAATAAAACTTGAAATTTAAAAAATTACAATAAAATAAAAGGAATTTTAAGTACAGCCATCCAAAGAGCATGTAGGTTTCTGGGATCACAACTTTGAATTTCCTTTGTTATCAGCAGGCAGGTTATTATGATAGAATATAATTAGTATCAAGGGACATTGTCCAAAACCACAAGCCTACCCACTGGCTTCAAGACCATTATAAGGCCTCCTTCAAGAGTTTGAGAGTCCTGCTCTCTCCATTTCCTAACAACAACTTTCCCTTCCTCCTCCCTGCCCTCCTCCTCCTTCTTCCTCTTCTTCAGTTAGTGCTTATTTTAACTACACTGAATTTTTTAACATGTAAAAGAGGTGGAAGAGCCCATAGTGTGATTTTTCTCTGGCCCCGTGTCTCCCCAGTTTGGTCCTTCTTCCAGGAATTGAGTTTCCTGAAATGCATCCAACATGCACCTGTCTTAAGCCAAGTTACACCTAGGCAGTGGTAGCAGGAAGAGGTGCCATGCACTGTAAAGTAGGGCGTTGTAAGGAGAAATGCCGTGTGCATCACACTCTACAACTCTCCTTCCCTTTCCTGATGGACAGCAGAGTCAGTCACTTTGAGAGTCTACAACTCTAGTGCCTGAAATTTAAATGGCTACCAATAACAACATCTTGCCTGAAAGTCAAAGAGGGCCCTACAATTCCATTCTGCCCAATGACTCAAGGAACACCCTTCTGTAATGTGCCAAGAAGCAGAACTAAAATAAAAGATAAACAACAAAATCTGAGGTGACTCTGTATTATCATTGTTCTATAATATTCTTCTATAACACACATAGTTGGCTGTTTTAAAAAGGATTGGAGGAGAGTCATGATGTTCTTGTGTCCAAATGCCTACCAGGCAGTGCTAGATTCATCTGTTTTCCCCATTACGCTAAGCCCCTTGAGGCCAGGAACCATGGTCATTCCCACATATGGTAGGGGCATTCAATAAATGTGTCTTGACAGAATGACTGATGAAAGAATGAATGTTAAATGTAATGATTATTAATTATGTTTTGATTCAAGTTTTACAATATAGAATCTAAAAAAAATCTATACAGATTCCTTATGTGTGAAAGTTTTATGTCATTTTTTTGCCCCAGGCAAATGAACCACCATATATAAAACTACAAGCCCAGTACTTGACACATAAGAAATAATAATCATTAAGTATAGCCTTCTTTTCACGTGCAATATAGAAATAGTCTAAGTTCTTAAAGACTAGCGAATATGAAATTGTATTTGAATAAGCATGATCCAACCGATAACCTACTGAAGTTTCTTTTTCTAAAGTATGTTGAATTTCACCAAAATGAAAGTCAAGAACATTTAAGCAAGTAGTCCTGGAACGACAGTGTCCTTACCATCCTCTGAGCTTCTAGACATAGTGGGTCTGGGTACATGCAATACTCTAAAAAAACAATCTCTGTATTATGCTAATATAAAACCAAGATAAAATATATCCTTTCTGTATTGAGCCTTTTAGTGACATAGAATGTAAACCTCTTTGCCACTAGAAAATCCTTATTTGCACCAAAAGGAGCTCTTAGAAATAATTTCACAGCTGGGTACACGGAGACTTAAAAAGACAAGGTGACTAGCCAGTCAGTGGCAGCTCTAGTTCCTTGACTCCCAGACCAACTTCTGCCATTACTGTAAAGAGGGAAGGAGTGGGCGGGGGCAGTATTGTTCACAAAGGAAAATTCAAGATCCACATAAGATCACTTTGAATGATCTCATTACCCATGTGGTTGCATGAAAGGTGGTAGAACCCTAGCTCTGAACTCAGAACATTAACCCATTAGAAAGCCATTTTTCACCTGAGCACTTTTTAGAAATAACGTGAGACCCTTTGTGTAATTTAATGCTTTGACGAATCACACAGGAGTTCTTCAAATTAACAATTTCCATTCACTCTTCACACTTTACCAGCTCAAAATGAATAGCAACTGTGAAGGACCATCTAGTGAACACACCAGTACCCCTGTCATCCCTGCGGAGGGAGTTAGATGGGTAGACGGAGCCCACAGTCCTGATCCCCGGGAGTCATCTGCCAGATCCCATGGATCAACACTTACTTCACACCCAGGCTAGAGGAAAATTATAAAGAAGCATCAAAATGAATCATAGATTCTATGCCAGTAGGACAACTTATCTACTCAAGTAACAAAGATCGTAACAGAGGCAAAGGAGATGTCGTGCTTAATAATTGAGATAACTGTATCAGTTTTTCACTTTGGAATAAGCTGGTTTTAGGGAGAGAAGGGGGTGGAGTTAGGGATTAAATGATCACAGAGTGTAAACCATTATTTTGATTAGAATTTAATCCATGAACTCAAATTCCCTTTATTCCACAAAGGAAACCTGAGGTGCCCCAGTAGCGCCATTTGGCTCAGGCGTAAACCAGTATGTTACCGACATATTCTCTCTTATGCCCCCACATCCCACCACTGAGTGATATAATAGTGGCCTGTGATTGTCTTGTTCCTTGCTTTCTGTCATTCTGCAAGGAATACATGTCACTTTTAAAGAATAAACAAAGGGAGTCATTGATGAAGCCCATAGTTGCATGGCCAAGAATGAAGGAAGAATATTCTACAAAAGAATATTCTGTAATTTCCAATGGGCATCATTCCGAGGTCTAATGCCTTATGCTCTAGTTTTTATGGCATAGAACTTGAGATTTCTACATGCCAGTAAGGTCACATAGGTGTCACCCTGAAATAAGAAGAAATCAAAACAACCCAGAACCCAGAAGTATGCTCAAATTTCAAAGCACAATCCTGAAGTATTATGTGACTTTATAAAAAGCAGTTATGACTTCCCCTTGACTCTAAGGAACAGATTTCTTTTTTTTGATGTAATAGCAGTAACAGTTAAAATCTGTAGAGTTCACCACCTATGAGGCACATGGAGAATGACTCCCCCAACCAGGTGTTTGGGGGACTTACCTATTTTTGCAAGGGATGCTAGAAGTATCCAGAGGGTGACCTCATAAGGAATTTGCACGTAGTCATAATCCAGGGCAAAAACAGATATCTTCTCATTTACCTCTGAACTGGCAGCAGCAAACCAAACATTAGCGTCATGCTGGGCAGTGGAATTTGTGGATTCGTTCAAATCTGAAGATGCTTCAGAACACTTGAGGGCCACCAGCGGTAGCACCCAGTTCCAAGGACTGAAAGGCATAAGCATCTGAAAACCCATGCTGTGGGCTCCTGCTACCCCGTGTGTGGTTGTGTGCCAGACATCGGCCGTGAGGAGGGTTTCTAGAGAGCAAAGGCGTCTACCTGGGTCAAAGGTAACATACGTACAGTCTGTGGGTCATTCCAAGAAGAGTCCGAGCGTGTCATTGAATTCTGAGTGTCGATGTTTTCAAATCACCTTTAAAGGATTTGTGTCCAGGTAACTCAGCTTCTGGCCCAAAGGCGTCAGTCATTCAGTAGACCCGTTAAAGCCCAAGTCACCTGTGTGACCTTCATCCGATCATGATCTGAAGAACAGTTTAGGAAGGGGAAAAACTTGTCTTCATTCAAAGCTGTTTCCTCACTTCACTGCACACTGGTTTCATCTTGTGAGTGAAAATTAAAAAGGATACCACGGTGTGCATTCCAGATATCACTGGAGTCCCTCCGACTAGGAAAGGAATCCTTCCCTCTCCACCAGGTCTCAGTAAGGAGCTACCTGTCCTGCACCTGCCCCTTCTCTCCTCCCCCTGCTCTCGCACTTGTTTTGAATGGGCAAGGCTGCAGGTAGCTCCTGCACTTAATTATTCGCTCTGACAGGACTTTTGTAATGTAATGCTCTCCTTGAGCGTTTTCCGGGGGTTACGCTGCTGACACCTAGTGGGAAGCCGCAATATGACACCTCGGCATGTTTAATGAATGATTAAGGTGGTCTTGTAATTATCCACACAAGGGCATTTCTGAGAGTAGAGAAGAACGATTGATAATTTTGCCAGACTCTAGGTGTCAGCCAGGATTATCCTGGAATCATATGGTCTCTGTAAATTGGGAAGGAAGAGGAGGTAGCAGAACACATGACCAAACTCATGTGCAGTAACTCAAAGAAAGTTCTAGGTTTCCATGAAATTTACACAGAAAAAAAAAAGAGCAGAAGAACAAGTTTCATGAAATACATTTAAAACCTAGTTTAAAAAAAATCTCCACAGGGCGCCTGGGTGGCTCAGTTGGTTAAGCGACTGCCTTCAGCTCAGGTCATGATCCTGGAGTCCCGGGATCGAGTCCCGCATCGGTCTCCCTGCTCAGCAGGGAGTCTGCTTCTCCCTCTGACCCTCTTCCCTCTCGTGCTCTCTATCTCTCATCTATCTCTCTCTCTCTCAAATAAATAAATAAAATCTTTAAAAAAAATAAAAAAATCTCCACAGCACATCCAAATTTTTCATTTTAAAGAATTTTGTTAATTACGGTCTATTTGTTCAAAAAGAGCAGTACCACACAGAGTGTTTATGGAAGAATTTGAAATGGATTCCAGGGATCTACTTCTGCTTCTTCTACATCTGGCCAGGTGGCCTTAACCCGATTAGTTACCTTTCAAAGCATCCTTTTCTGAAAACGGGGAGGATAATAATATCTACCTCATCGACTGGCTAGAAGCATTAAATGAGATAAAGCAAGGAAAATCTCTGGCATTTAACTGGCACTTAATAAATGTTGGGTTTTTTTATTTTTACTCACATTTCTTATGCTACAGGAAAATAAGAACTCTGTTGCAATGCGGAATAGCGCTCAATAGAAAATGAGAATTATTCTCCATAAATAGTCTCAATGCCTCTTCCATATCAAACTGAAGGGCAATTTATATACATTTTTTGTTAATGTTAGTGAGAGTGGATCACTCCCACCCTCCACCCCATGCTCAGCAAAGATCACTGGAAAACAGAGCTACCTCTGTTGAGGAAGGCTAGCATCTAGATGCAACTTCTTAATAAGACAAGGATTAAGAGTTCACATATGGATTTTTTTTTTCTCGTTCCTTTGCAGTTTGGCTCTAAAAATAGATCCAATTTAGTCACTAAAATGAGAGGTTGACCTCAAGCAGGTCACCATATTGGGTCAATATTTTTTTCAGAAAAGTTGACATGCATAGCCTTATAATGGAAAACTTCTTCAGAATAGATATTTTATCTTTTCATTTGCACTTCTGTTTTACTTTTATTTTCTAAAAAGAAATGGGAGAGTATTTCTCATGGTGCTCCATGACAAGATCGAAACTAAGGATCAGAAAACCTCTGTTCTCCGGCATTAATTACCGCTTCACTCTGGGAAAGACACTTTACCTGTTTTTTGAACAATTTTATCATCTATAGACTGAAGATGCTGTCCACTCCAGGTATCTTTTCCTGCTCTAAAATTTCAAATCTTTGTGAATATATTATAACATGTTTTGCCGTACAATCAACTGATAACCGAGAGTACAATCACTATCAGAGAAGTGATGCCAAGGTCAGGGTTAGTGAGAGGAAAACTTGAATTCTACAGCAGTCGACCACCTTGTCTTCCAGGTTGAGGTTTGCTGTCCCACGTTCCCCACCCCCCACCCCCCCCCGCAGAAGGGTCAACCCTTGGTACCACTTCCACCCATACAATAGTGCTTCCACACAGCCACCTGAAATATTCTTTCTAAAATTGCCTTCTTAATCCTGGTTCTCTAGAAAACAGTGTAAGACAAAGCTTATATGAGTGGTGCAAACCAAAGGTAGCAAAGTGAGAGAAAAAAGGAGGCAAGGGAGAAATGCTTCTAGAATGGTACTGTGGGGAGCTCTACAGACCTTCTCCCTAGTGTTAGGGAGACACCCATAATTGGGAAGATCTATTGAAAATAAAGAGAACAGCTTTTCAGT